ACCCGGTGGGCCGATTTCCTATCCAGCAATGTATTTCGTATTATAATTTCAGAAATCGCGTGTCAAATCTCGTGTTACATAATACATCAATTACTATAGTATAAAATTGGTAGTCGCGGAGGTGTAGCTTATATTATGTACATGATATCTCCGTAATTTAATAAATTATAAAAAATAACCTATGCCAAAATAAATTATTATTATGTCATTTAAGATATGAAATTTAAAACTGCCAACATAATTTAGATTTTAGTGTTTATCGATATTTTGTTTTTGAAGTTAAAGTAATGGTGCAGTTACACATTGAAGCATCCTAAGGCAAAATATTTTTTTTGTCCCTATAATAGAAAATACAAATTATAATCTTTGTTACCAAAACAGTGATATGAATATATTTTTCACCGAGTATAATATGTTTAATTTTAAATTTAGCAAATTTATATATTCATTATGTATAAAATTACGACATAATTTATATGTATAGTAATTGTTTTACGGTATAAATTATACATAGTATAGTGCAGTGATGACAGCAGGTAACACATGAATCGCAATTAATTAAATTAGCGAGAACTAGCGATTGGGTTAGGTTAAGTTCGGAAGCCGGAAGTAATGCCTCAGTAGTTTCTGGTCCGTCATCGATATCAACCAAAAGCTTAAGTTTAGAACAATTTCAGTTTTGAGACTACAGTACGGAATAAATCTGTAGTCACGGGGGGGGGAGCATTGTCCCCCTGGACCTAATCGTTGCCCCAGAACAAGTATTAAATGTATATATGTAGTGATATGTAATGGTTTAGTAGGTCACCCCTAAAATTTGATTTGACCCACCTGATGATTTGGTCTGACTACGGGCCTGGTACGGAATCATCTTAATTTCGATAATAAATAAAATTGAATTGATGAGTTTTTATATAGATCCATATATTCAGTACAAAAACTCGTATGATCTGTTAGTTTTTGACATGAACCCCGCTGCTTTCCAATCAAATATAGATGTGCTTTTAAACCGATTGATTATAGAATCAAAAATCCAACAAAACTACCGCTAATTCATTTTTTTTTTTTTTTTGAACTTATTAGTTTTGTAATGTAGCCTACTTAAATAGCACTTTCGTGCATACATAATAATTCCGAGTATAAAACTATTGAGTCGGTGTCATTCCCGGGAGGGGAAAGCAAATCTCGAAAACAAATTACATTTTGCTTATAAAAAATAGGTAGTTATTTATATGCATGCACACGAGATGAGTATATAAGTACAATTTTAAACGCCACCGTGTCTAATGGTTTTTGTAACATTTTAACCGCATTATAGGATATCGACATCATATTATATTGTAAGTACACACGCTTCATTTACAAAACCACTTTATAGAAGTGTTTAAATTAATATATGGCTATTTTTTTTTTTTTTTGTAAACGGCTCAACGTGATTATTTTCTGTATAATTTATACCTACACGGCTACATAAATAGTCTGCGCAATATTATGCATTATACGTTGACATATACTCATATACATATATATTATGCGCTTACTGCTTTCTTCTTTGGTAATAATTTATTAATAATAATATATATTATATATAAACGAATAACGATAAGTATAGCCGAGTATATATTGAATTGTAATTTTAACATGACGTAGACAAGTATACCAATATTTTAGCGATGATTTTGGACATTTACCGACGGTTTTACACACGCAACGAATTTCCAATCGATATAATAATAATATATTTCCAATGACTCTATCCCCTTGAATCGTAACCCCGAGCATTTACGTCATAACTTATATTTGCGTTTACTTCCATTATGTCTACTTTGTACGCGGTTACATAATTATCAGAGGCGTATACACGGGGGATATGGCGTTTGATCCCCCCAACGTCTATTTTAAAAACGTTTATTGTATACAGATACCGTAAACTTAAATAGGTATGCATAATAATTACAATGTTAATTTTAATTAGGATAACATTTTTTTATTCAATTTAACAGTCTTAACCAACGGCGTAGTTACGAAAGAAAGGAAGGGTAAAAATGGTACTTCCATCTCCCATTTCTCAAAAATCAATTATTTTATAATAGTATTACAAATGAAACAATAGTTCACGGCTATATAGACATGCCTATGTAACTCTTGCAGTAATTTTACATACGATGGTGTGTGCGTTAATGTCAAAAGTTGCATTTATTTTTCATTTGGAAAAAAATAGACACATGTAATTAATATTTTAAAACTAAAAAAAAATAATCTATTTTACAAAAGTACAAAACCAATATTTTGTTTAAGTTGTTTATGATTTTTTAAATAAATATAAAAAAATTATTCAATAGCTAGATTTATATATCCATAATTACATATTTTTTTGATTCTGAGTATATAGCGAGAAATTGGTTTTACTATGTGTTTTTTTTTTTTTTTTAATATTATTATTTACTGTTTATAAACAACTTTTTTACCAGAAATCTTGCTACGATCAAAAATTAACAACAGACCTTCTTCATTGAATTTTAAATCTAGTTGGTGAGTAATTAAGTAATTTATTTCCAAACAGGTTTTATAATAATTATTAGTTTTAGAAAACAAGGAAAAAGGCTTAAAGTAAAACCGGACCAATGTACGGCACATATAATTTCTTAATTTTAAATTTCTACCAGAAATCTTGTTGCGATCGAGATATAATGCCAAAATCCATTTTTTTTTTTTTTTTTTTTTGTTGAATTCTAGATCCAGTTTAGGTTTTTAGTAAGAAAGTCGCGTTTTGATTTTCCAACCATGCAGCGTTCGTCATAATCGACGAAAGGGAAAAAAACGTAAAATGAAAACGGACAATATTCTATACGGGCGCCGCTGTTTGCGTCGGAAACACGCGACACGCAAAGTTCGATTACACGTTACACACGAAAACACTTTTCTCTGTACAATGGCGAAATCATTGGTCGAACAATGTTGTCGTTATACAGGCGATGATATTATAAGCAACCGTATTTCAGTATTACTTAGCCCGGAACGCCGGCGAGTGTAAACATAATAATATTGGCCGAGTACGCAAACCTGTCCCGTACTTTAATATCTGCATTATATCGTTATGATTACTGCAAGGGGACGTTTCGGCGATTTGGCGCGGTCGCGGTTGTCGAATCGTCATCGTATCTTCGTCGCAGGTACACCTACCTACATGTTATTGTGTGTACATATTGACTTGGCGTAATCGCACGTGGTATACTATATAATATATATATATATAAATAAATACGAGCGAGATAGTAGTAATATACTATAATATTATATTATATTGCTGCAGTAATATGTAAATTAACCGCGCACTAATCTATAGAGTCGTCCACATTTATTATGTGTACCTAGGTATGCAGTATAAACAATAATAATATTCCCCCATGCGCGGTATATATTAGTATTTCGCGCGAGCGTTATCGTCGACGAGTTGTCGGGTTTTTTTTTTTTTAGAAAGCTTTCGTCAATATACAAAATAATCATTACTATCGTATACCTAGCTGTATAGAGGTAGGTACTGCAGTTGTTACGGTCTGTCGATCGCGGGCGTATTGCCGGCAGGAGGACGACACTTTTTATCAGTAAAAATATATAAGCGAGTATACGCACGATATTAGGTGCATAATATAATACTATGTATATAGTAATGACGGCGGCACGCCTGTATATAGCTGCAGGTATATTGGGACACCGGGTTTATTACCGTTTGTTTTTTTTCGACAAGCTACCTATTATACATAAAACAAACATCCCGGGTCATATGTAAAAACCAAAAAAAAAAAAACAAATATCACACCCCTGATAGAATAGTGACACAACTGAAAAGATACGGCTTTCGAGTTATCACTGTCGAAATAGGCATGCAGAATTTCATCTTTTATTTAGTATGAACTCAAATTTCTTTATTTCTGATCGAAACAAATACAGTTTCCAGTAGTAATATCGATATATTGATACTACTTCTGAAATGTCACTTATTTCTGACCCGATTAATGTTGTTACGCATAATTATTCTAGCTTAAATAAAGTCACTATAAAAAGTTATGAAACATTAAAAGTCGATTTCCCAACATTTTCATATTTTGATTTGTATCACATCGGACACCATGTTACGGCTAATGTTGAATATTGAACAATGTCAACATTTCCTTCAGTGGAACCGGTTTTGTACTGTTAGTGTCATTATTAAAGTAAATATTTTGTTCAAACTTAAAGATAAGAAAATTGTCTGTGTTTGGCGCCGGTTTATCGCGATATTTTAATTTTTAATCGTGATAATAGTGTATGAAAATTAAAACATCCGGAAAATACCAACGTACAAACGCGGACAATGTTTTCCCACTGCAATGTTAAAACTAACGGCGGGAAATCGGTTCGACAGTCGACACTATGCAATGTTCAACGTTAACAGGCGTAACATCATTTATGATACACAAATCGCTTTTATTGTTATTGTTTCCCGCGCATGTACGCGTCGTTGTCGGCAAACCGTATATCCCATGTACGGCTAACGAAAACGACATTCGTCCGATACATTTAGGTATATTTATAGTTTGTTACGGGCAAAACCGAAGCCGGCCGGCCGGTCTGTCTGTGAGCGGAATTACTAAATCCGCCGCCGCCGACGTATTATTTTTTACCATTTGAATTAAACCGCCGCCGCCGCCGCCGCCGCCACCGATATGTCGCTCGGGTCGCCGCCGTAATAATATACACACGCCGGGAAACTGGACGATATGTAGGCATGCACAATAATATGCGATTATAAAACTTCTCTATGTATACACACGATAAGTGCACCGACGTCGGGGCATACCGATAACGGGGGCTCGTTTCTCCTCCATAATACGCACACGCACACACGCGCGCACACACACACACACACACACACACACACATACATTATATTATTATGATAGTCTGGCTGTCGGACCTTGTGCGTGTGTGGCGGACAGATATTGTATTATATATTATGTATACCTATGGACACGAGAGCGCGACGGCTACGACGACGATGATGATGATGACGACGACGACGACTCGTCGATGTTATATCGATGACGCAGAAGATGTGTGTGTGCGCGCGTGTGTGTGCACGTCCGAGAGTCTATTAACGCGGCATTGTTCCGAGCAAAACCACGTGGAAATAACGACTACAATAATATACAACGTGTACGGTTCACATATATAAGAACATCGAACATTCGAAAACGCGTATACCCGTACAGCTACAATATCCGTCTGGTGTGCCCGGTATACACGTTTGATGTATAAACGATGAAAACCACGAATGAAAACATAAATCTTTCGATCGATTAAATACGGTAACGGTGTACCGGTACTGAAAATATTTCCGCAGAAAGAAAAATAATAATAATAATAATAATAATAATAATATTGTTCTTCTGGTATAATAGGTATGCACAATGATAGTTTGAGATCCAACGATAATGTGAAAAATTATTTTGTAACAGCTCGGCAATTCGCACTTGTGCATTTTTTTTTTATTTTTTTTTTCACTGCAATTTTCGCTGGCCTCGACAGTAGGAAAAACTTTTCGTAAACATACGCGAAGTGTGTGACATAATTATTCGGGTGTAAAACCTGGACCGTGATCATATGCACTATCGAGAAGAGAAAGCTGATAGAATTTGAAATACGTGGTATTGCCGTAAGAGGCTCGACATTTCTCTGTATGATATGTAAAGTATGGAAAAAGGAGAATTTTTCGACATGAATAAAAAAAAAAAAAAAAAAAAAAAGACAATTTGACGAATTATAAAAAATAGAAGAAGAATAATATTACGGTACTGTACCGTTCTGTGTGTACGCCATGATAGTCTGTTGAAGTTGACTATTGGGGGTTGTGTAGAAGGTAAAATTAAATAGGGAACACACCGAGGATGGAATATATACTAAAAAATCCTCACGAGAACAAAGTTTCCGAGAATTGAAGGATTTGGGTTCTGACCGGGAATTACGGAGGAAATTTCATCGACAGTCATCCATCGAACAATTAAGGACCGGAAAAAGAAGAATTTTTCTAAAATTTTGATTTTCGTGTACATTCAAAAGGTGCCTGTATTTAATTATGTGCGAGATCGTAACGGCAAGTTCGATAAGTTGGAAAACGTTTATAACTAATGCATAAAATTAGAGAATAAAAACGTCTAGACAACTCTTATTTGTATTTTCTATAATATTATATAGGTACCTATAAGTACTATCTATTATAATAGCATTTTTTATGTATACATTTTTCAAAATAGATAATACCTATGCAATCCATTTCTTATTAAAAAATAAATGTTAATTGAAAAGGCCGATCCCGAATAGTTGGGGTAAAGGTAAAGGAGAAGAAGAAAAAAAGAAATGTTTAATATTTTGGGCGAAATTACTTTAAAAAAGGTACTTTAAAGCGATAAGAATATCACACTAAAAGAAAATATGGTAAAACGTATCAAACAGGATTTTTATTTTTGAATATATCAACACATTAATAAAATTAAAATATATTATATTGTTTTTATAAAATAAATAAATAAATATTTGGACAACAGCTGCGTGATAAATAATAAGGACCTATTCGGGTCTCGACGTAAAACATTTACATTCGAAATATTATGATTTTTATACAGTATTTTGCATATTAATCCGTTTTGGGTAAAAACGACTATTTTCCCTTATAAGGTGATATCAACATGCCATAAAAATGAAGTATATACCTAATGCTATGCGTTTTTCACGCAGCAATAATATTATGTCCGGATAGTTTTCGTACCTGCGAGCTGATGAAATTTCTTTCGGGTATACATACTGAAGAAAAAAAATAAGGATTCACAACGCAAATCGCAAATAAACGGTTATTATTATATTTTGTATTGCGAAATTTTAACTACGTATATAGCCGTTGTATCAAAATTTACAATTTATAATCTTTAAATATATACCTAATTCATAGTCGCTCACGAATTTTGAATAAATTGATGATAACATATAATGAATTTTGAGCGAAGCGAGGAATATATTAGTTTTACTATGCTGATGTTTCTTCAAATTTAAATTTAAATGTTCGATTAACTTAGTCAGTGCATTGAAGACATGATTTTTTTTTTTTTTTTTTTGTATTTAAATAGAAAAATCTGGCAATTTATGTATATTTTTTTTAATTTCTGTGTTAATTTGGTAACAATACTCTGCTCAGAATCGTGTTTCATTAGTAATGGTTTAACTGCATACAAATTTAAATCAAATTACACTATATATCCTGCCTTCTAATTCTCCTCCTAAAACAATAGCACATGCATCAGAAATATCAGCCTTTTTTATACTTTTTAAATAAAATAACGGTTTAAATTTTATTTTCGAACAAAATACGTTAAAATTATAATTTCCAATCGAAAATGAAAACAAGACGACAGTGTTACTGATGTTACTGTTTTTCGTGACTATGGGTCTATAATAATCTAAAGGCGATATCGATATTTATAAAAAACCAGACATATTTCGTTGATACTATAGTTAAGCAACTATTATAGTTGGGTATATTGGAAGATATATTATGGACACCATAGGGTACCTAATCTATAATTCATATGCATTAAATCATTACAAATAAAAAACGATTCTAAACTGAATACGGTAAACTAAAAATGCTATAGGTGTTTTTCTCTCCCTTGTATCGCCATTTTTTTCGGTTTTACAAAAATTTTTTTTAAATAAATTGTAAGGATCAAGAAAATATGTTCAAAGAATTAAACGAGCGGGCGGAAAATTAACATTAAAAAAAAATATATCCGAGTAAGTATAGATAACATTATTTTAAAATAGTTACCCGTAAATTAAAAATATAAATCGCGTTGATAATATAAATATATATTATATATTATCAAATTATAGCCTATATGATATGAATGATTTTATTTTTCTGGGAAATAATAAGTAAATGTGAGAATAGAGCGCATGGGCATAACATTTTTTGTAGTCTACATTGAACTACATTTTCCCAAGTACAAATATCCAATATTGGAAAAAATATATACCCAACAGAAATTACAAATGAGAATATTATAAAGCCATCCGTGAAAATTAATCACCGATTTTTCACGTTAATGTCCACTTTAATATACTGATTTATTCTCTATAATAACCTCGAATCGAAGCCAAATATGTGGGATCAAATATTATAAGCTAAATAGCTTCTACGATGCACTTTTAATTGTACAAACAAATCACCTACCGCACAAAGTCGGTAAAAATATCTTTGGCATTTGTCTTCTATAACTGGATGACTTCCAGGCCGTCATTGATGAAACAACAAATTATAATAATAATAATACCTAGTAATAATAATAGTAGAATTAATTATTCCTTTCCAAAAACACAGATGACTGCATTTTACTCGTTAATCTAAATTTAATATTCTTCGCTATCCGTTTATTTTTTAACGTAAACGTTTAGATTGTTTTTTTTAATTTTAAATTGTATAATTCGATTTTCTTAGAAGAAAAAATACAAAAATAATTTATATAGTGACGTAAACTAAGAAACATTTTTAAAAGTACTAAGTATACATGTACTGTCACTATGCGTAATATCATCATCATATTATTTACGGCTGTACATACGGAAAACATAACGCACAAGGACCGACCAAATTTTCCTAAATAATCATTTCTGGTGTTGTAGAGATCATTTTTTTATTATTATTATTATAACTATTATACAACAAATGATGAAACCCGCAATAGCAAAACAATCAAAAATAATTAAAAGATTTTCCTACGGTTTTTCCCAGTTATTAAAAAAAATTACCAAGTAAATTACAATTTGTTTTCAGAATAGAAAGTTATTTTGATTATTTTAATTAGTACATTGTGTATAGGTATTAAATTGACGACATTCTGATAGTAAATGTTTAATGGTAGTGAATGGTGGGTAGTGCATATTTCGGGCTCTGATTTTTCCAAGAATGTTAGTGGGCATGCCAGGAGTGTCCTATCCTTAGACACATCAGTATCACATCTTATTCTCTAATTAAATTCAATGGATTAATCTACCTATCGGTGGTAAGTTTTATTTCTCTAAATTTGTTATCTCTCAGTAAATTCCATACGCCATAAGTTTGTTATGGTTTTTTTGGCTTTTATTATGAGGTAATTTTTGGAGAAAAGTTGTATTGTATCGATAGTTTAATCGATAATAATTGATCATATAATTATTAAATAATAATATAGCATTTTACAAAAATAATTTTCAAAATACTATTGATATTTATAGCAAAAAAAAAAAAAATAATAATATAAAATATTATGAAACCAGTCTATAATTGATTAAGTCCACGTGAAATTTTAGTAACCAATTAAAAGAGAAAAAACTATATACCTACTATATTTATAATTACGAGTCGTATTGAATATTAAAGGCGTCAGAGATTTAAACAAATAAAAACAATTATTATTACTTTCATGGCTTGTAACTGCAAGTACCTATATAAAAAGTGAAGACTCTAAATGTCAATGTATCTTATGGACATTGAATGAACCGGTTATATATATATATATACATGTTTTTATTGTATAGTTTCAACTGCAAGAGATAGGTATGGTATGTGCGCAAAATATTTAATTATTTATTTATATACAAAGTAGTTTTTTAATGTTACGGAAACCCGTAATCCATACGACACCTATTTGACACGCGATAGATATTTCAGACGGTGAAAAACGTCTTGCGTTCGAATTTAAAAAACAAAATCCAATAATGATTAAGCAAAACGCAAGTATAATGTGTTTTTTTTTTTTTTGTAAATTTAATTCAAACAAATTACTCGAGAGACAATTAAGCTCAGCACTAGTACCTAAGTTAGTAATTATATTAAAACAGATGGATACTAATTTTAGAAAAAAAAATCAGCTTAACATACAGTTTTAGATTCTGTGCGAGATACGGAATAAATTGGTTTTGTTATGATGTATTATTTTTGAATGGTAACAATTTTTCCACCAAAAATATCTTACTCCATTTAAAAACTCTGTAGGAATTTTCTTTTAAAATATTCTATCTAGTTAGTGCATTGAAAAGATGCATTGATTTCCCTTGTTGTTCTTATTATGATAAACTAATAATGTGATAAACTGGCAATTTGTTTATAATTTGTATTGATTCTAGGTTACTTTGGAAACGAAAGGGAAATACAACTACTACAACTGCTCAAAATCGGTTTTCGTTAGATATGGTATATAATTACGTACATATATAAATGAAATTTATTTATTTTTTCAAAATTCTTTATACTTTCGCTTCCGACTTTACTCTCGAAACAGTGGCACACTCTTCAGCAGTATCAATCTTTTTAATTTAATTTTTCGAGATTAAAGAATTTTTAATTGTTTGAAAATTAAAAAAAAAAAAAATTAAAAACGTTAGTATTTTTCTTTTTTTTTAACAGTATTCACGTCCGGATGCACTAAATCGATACCTAATATTATTTACTCACAACCCGTAAGATCATCTTCACACATGATGCAATGTATAATATAATAATATATCGGTTTATATATATATATATATAATTTTTTTTTTCGTAACTAGTTTTGTTTCCCCTCTATAAACTGCATTCCAGAATTCTCTCGGGCCTGTTTCACTATATATATATATATATATTACAGCTAGTCAACAACTACACGAACTGGACAAATCCATGAAATTACGATACATTTATATACACTTATAACAAATCACTATTTGCAGTCCAGTATGGATTGTCGCAAAATATACGAGTACATGTCAGTTTCTAGAAAAAGTAGGCGAATGAGGCTGCCACGTGCGACGCAAATACAACTACTGTAGTAATATGTACTAGCAAACGTATAATGTATATATATATATATATAATATGAAATAGAATAAAAACTTGATGGCCAATGATTAAATGGTGTCGTTCAGTAGGATGATATGAACGCGAGGAGCTTCGGAGGACCGCGCGATGATAATATAAAGCTATTCGTCTCGAAATTACCAAATAAATCTGGTGCAGCGACCGCGGAGACTCGGTGGACCATAAAAAAAGAAAAATTATAGGGACTCGAGGTGCCCGGGTGAAATATTATGAGACGGAGACGCTGCACGAAAGCTATATCGTCTATACGAGTACAGTTTTGTACTGTGGATTATCGGTTATTTTAGTAAAAATTCGCATTAGAAAGAACGTACGCGATAAAATTGTGACTGCGTTTATTTTTCGCGTTAAAATAATTTGATAATAAAACCAGTCGACGCTTTAAGTGTTTCGTTTAAAAATATCTATAACAGACATATGCGACATAGGTATGCCTTATAATGTGTCATCTCGTATATTAACTTAAGATATGCAAAAAGTTCAAAATGGGAGATATTATAACTCTCAGATCTCGTCACTGATAGAAACCCAGTACTCAGATCATATATTAATTTCATCAGAGGCGCCTCGTTGACGGAGGCAACAAAGACATTCCTCATTTCATTGATTGTGACTCTGATCGACGAGTTTAATGTAAAAGGACCTATTATATTTTATTTTATTATTATACATTGTATAAAGAAAAAAAATTTAATATGGATCCTATGAATGATATTATTATTTTAATTTCCTAATAAGTTATTGTAATCCAAGTTAAAACTAAGAGAAATTAAGTTAAATTCAAACACAAGGATCTTGAAAAAAAAAATGAAAATATTTTTAAACATTGTTCATAAAATTCGAAGTAAATGCTCATTTCTATAATTGGTATCATAGAGCCTTTTAACCCAAACTTGATCAGACAGTTAAAATCGCGGAAATACGGAATTATTTTGTTGCCTTAATTACGTGCGAGACAAACAGAAAAAACAAATGTTAGTGACAAAACCCCTTAATTCATGTATAATATCTGTCGTTCCAAAGAAGAACTATTACTTAGAATGGCTTGAGTATATTTTTGTTATTTTTTAAAATAATTTTGTCTTTGGTAGCATTGATATTAGTGTATGTTTATTCTAACACATGTCATGCATGGAAATTAAAATATCTTAAATCACTATATAATCTACTTTTTATTTGCAAAAAGGCAAAATTATATGCATGACTTAAGTCATTTATAACGTGATATTTATGTTAGTGTATTTAGTAATCGATCAATATTTAACATTAAATTTGTTTATATTGAAAACTAAACAAAATTTGCATTAGCTTTTGTTTCCTGGGCCAAAAATACCCGATACCTAATAACTATTTATCGATTTCGAACTTGACGAAACAAACTAAAATGTTTTCATCGGTAATCATCTATAATTATAAGTACAACAATAATACATGATTAGTTCAATGACATCTAGAAATACTTTCTGACAAATTATGTAAGATTTTTATTATATGTACGAAATACTATATTATATTCTCATTTTCTTTGTTTAATTATATTATTTTAACATGATCAATTATAATACTACTACTATTATTATTATTATTTGCAACAACTTTCACAATCTAAATATCTAGGTATATAATATAAAAACGATTATTATTATTATTATTATATAGGTAGTTGTTTTAAAGTCGATTGGATTTACTAAGAAAAAAACAAGACGTACGAGTTTGGTCGTCGGATATTTAGTATTTACAATAATATAATATTATACACCCTGTATATAGATGGGCAAAAAAATATTAATTCTCTCTCGCAAACAACTCGCACGGCTGTCAAAATAATAATATTGGCAACACGGATTTTTTTTTTTTTTTTTTTATCACGCTAAATTCACAACAATTATGAATAAACGCGTTATTCGATCAAGATATAAACTGCTGCTACTCTTATGATTTTTACTGCTGCCCCCTAAGGATATAATATATTATAATACTCATATACAATCGGAAGTTTAGGTAGGTACTTATAATATAATATTTTATAATAAGAGTGTCACAATTAAAATACATTCGCCACATATAGAAAGTAATGACGCAAATCGTATTTATATTTTTTATAAGCGCGAACATTTTTTTAACGAAATTAATTTTGTAATTTTTATTATCATTTTTCTTTTTATAAAATATATACTATTGCGTAACGATTTTTGATATCAGTCGACCCAAACAACATTAAATTTAATATTCAGATCACTACATATTATATGTATAAAGGTACAGACTTTTTCAAGAAACACTGAAAGTGCGTATAACATAATAATAATAAATTAATAATACAAAAACTAATTTGTACACGACAAATCTGTGTAATTAATTTAGCAATTAAAAATAAAAACAACTTTTTTTTTTACATAGTTACCTGTTTTATATTTTACGCGCGTTTGAAGAGAATTGCGAAGTTTCTTTTCGACGACTTACCGGTTCCGGTATAGGTAGGTGTCTAAAAGGCGTGTAACAATATACATAAGTATGTATTCTAAATGATAATAATAACTAGTTGAATTTTAACCAAAACTTTAACTATAGTAACTAGTTTTTCTACCATGTTAAATACAAAATTACGCGCGATGAATTATTTCGGGGGAGCTTAATTCACTGTAGTCCGTGTGTGTTTTAATTAATATTCCGGATTGCATACTTGCATTATTATCACGATAATAACATACGTAAGCCTTGTTCGAAACGCCACTTGTGCAGTAAGTATTATGCTCGGTAAACAATAACTGCAACATAGTGAAATATCGAGTGCAGCATGTGTTTTGAAAATTATGTTGGAAAATAAATGGTTTTCAACCCGAAATTATCGATATTTGAATGCGAATTTAGAGAACACGATTGACAGAAAACAAAAAAAAACCAGACACGACGTCGTCACAGTGATGACGTAATAATATCAATATTCGTGGTAGACCTAAGCAAACGTATCAAATTTGCCGAAAGATGTTATTATCAAATTAATAGTCTCATTTCGTTCGAATATCGTCCTTCATGTTAAAAATATAGGTATTTCAGATTCCAAATAAATATAGGTAGGTATTATTTCTATCGTAATATATTCGTGACATTAAAATTTTTTATAAAAAATCGACATTAAAAGTCGTGAGAATAAGAAAATCGAAGATTTTACCACGTATTGCTATATCTGTATATGGGTACATATTAAGAGGTTATAGGTTCTAAATTACGAAATAAAGTGGTACATTTAGTATCCGTATTTTGATTATCTGTTGGTGTATTTATCGCCGGAGATTTACCGAAACTATGGACTAAAAAAATATATAAAACTGGGAGACAAATAAAAAATGTCCAAATTTCCCCCCTCCCGTCCTACTGTAGCAATAGCAAAACTGTACAACTGGTTTTTTATCGCACGGTAAATCGGTACCGACCTAGGTATAACAAAAAAAACTGCGGTAATTTAGCTAAGCGGCAAGCACTGTAGCAGAGAAACGGATTTTAAGACTTTAAGATATTAAGTTATTAAGTATAGGTACGTTGGATATTTATCCACGCAGAAGACGAGTGAATTTCATAAACTTACGAGCGCTCGGATCAAGAAAGTATAGTAAAAATAATATCGAAGTTTCTTCCCGTCGAAAAGTTTTCAAATTTCTAAGGACTTTCAATGGCTTAAGTCAATTTTAGTATTTTTTTTTTACCAAGAATTTTCTTTTATATAATTTTTCCAACTAAATTTTTTGATCTAAATAATATAAATATATGTATATTTTAACACAAGTTATAATGAAAATTAAGTGACTTTGATGTAATTTTTGTTTGGAATAAGCGACATAACCATTTCGATATTTATTCATTTAGTAATTCTCAAAATGTGATTTGCTTCTACTGAAAACTACATAAAAAATTGACTGAAGCCCCGCTTCTTTCCAGACTAAAATTTAAAAAACGCTATCCTAGGATAATGGGAACGGGCGCAGCCACTGATATAGGTAATTTAATGTATACCTGTAAGCAATGATAAACCATAACTAATGAAAAAACGATTCTGAGCGCAGTTCGGTTGATAGTGATGCTTTTTCGATAATAAATATGTCATATTATGGTAAAATAATTAAACAGACATTTTCTTTAATAATAATTATTTAATGTACTCATTTTCCCATTTTTCCTACGTTTTTCCCAGTTTTTCTCAGTTTTTTTTCAGTTTTTCACACTTGATGAGAAAACTCCAGAGAAAATCGAAAAATGACCTCTCTAAAGTATATTTCTAGTCAGATTTCTCTTTCAGAAAGGTGCTATCATTGTAAATTGGAACAAAATTGCTGGTAGAAAAGTTATGCACAGAAAAAAAAAAATTAAAATATAAACATCTTATTGTAAAACTATAAGCTTCTTCGCTCCATTCAGAATCTAAAATATAACGTGATAATGATGATATAATGCAAACAATAGGGTAGGATACAAACACCTACTTATACCTACACCGATTTCTCGGATAAATTGTGGTATATCCAGCGGCGTGTATAGGGAGAGGTGAGAATAGAGATTAAATCGCCAACCTCCATTGCCTTAAAAATAAAAAAACTAAAGTGTTTGTTTATTCACAGTAATTGAATATAATTACTCTTTAAATTATATATTTAAGTTAAATTACGAAGAAAAAATCTATTGGTTTAATGAGCAAAAATTGACTTTTTTGAGATTCGGCTTTTAAATTATTCTCGTTTTCGCGTTAGGCACAAGACAGAAGAAGTTTCTACAAGATTTATTAATGAATTATTTACTACATCCTCTCCCACTGAAAATTCCCGGGCACGCCACTGAGTGGCGGCGTATACGTATACACAATATTAATTTTATGATGTATTATATTATTATATACAGTTTTGGATACGATCAAACGTACCGGCCGACTCGACGTGACGTATATAATATATATGGAAAAAAAAAAAACAAACTAATATACCTAACAATTTTGGGATTTCACTATGGAGTATAATAATATTAGAAGCCTCGCGGGTATTCGCGTCCTCTATACTGCAATAATATGCGTCGGCTACCTATATACCTATATACGATTATTATTTGGAAAAAAAAAATACTATGAATATAATATAATATAATATGCGTGTTTTACCTCATTTGACGGATGCGTCGTGTAAAAAATATATAGTGCGTTTCGGTAAAACGTAGGTATAATATTATAATAACTGCTGCAGCGGAGGGTGTCTGTCCCGGCCCGAACGGAAAGAGGAAATGATTTACAACGATCGCACGAAAACCGACGGAACCGCGGGCGAACTCGAGAAAACGATAATTTTTTTTTTTTTTAAAAAAAAAAAAACCAAAATCGACTGTACCGACGACGCGTTCGCTTTGAAACGCTTAGCGAAAAATAAAATCACAGGCTTTTCGCGGCGGCGAACAAAGTCGTCGTGGGGTGAATGGCGATAAAAAATGTATTTAAAAAACCAAAAAAAAAAAAAACACGAAAAACAGCACTTTTCGCGCGCTACGTGCACGACTGTCGGCAGCGCGTATTTCGCGGCGACGACGGCGGACGGCGGCTCGGTGTGGTGGCCGGCGGAGAAACGTTTGTTCGAGCGCACGCCACGTGCGTCGTACTGACAATAAAACGCCGCGGCCGTGTATAATCCTGTGTACGGACCATCGTCTTCGGGCACCGTCATCGCGACGGCGGCGGCGGCGGCGGCGGCCGTGGGTCCGCCTTTTTCCGTTTTGGCGACCACGCGTCCGTTCCGCCGCCGCCGCCGCCGCCGTACCAATAACCTAACCTAACCTAACCCAACTTAATAACCGCGGGGTGCCGCCGGAATTATACTCTCGTTATTAGGAAACGAATTAATATAATGTGCACTTTAAATTTGCAGAAAAAAAAAAACGTCGAAAAATGCGCTTAAAAAAAGTCGAAAATGATAAAGACGGTTCAAGTCCTCCCCGACTAAAGGCTCTGTAACTTATAAAATACAATTTCCCAATACTCCAAAAACGATTAGGCGCAGATTCGCCACCCATATGGCCGTCTTCAGGACACCTATCCTATTAATACCTATTGGATTTGAATTGTAACTACGGTTGTTGAACAAAATTCAAAACTTAACCACGGGGATAATAAGACCCTTATCTTATAAAACGTATAGAAATGATTGTGTATTTCGTATATAATTTAAATACAATTTAGTGATCAATATCAAAAACTGTCTCAACTTCTTACGCTATTTTTTTTTTTTTAGATAAAAAATAAAATGTATTATGTACACAATATTTTAATATCAATTTATGTATGGGTACTTGCAATTTGCAATTATACCAAGTAAACAGAAATATTTGAAATGAATAATAGGTAACTAAGAAAATTGTATAATATTGATTATGGCCCACCAATAGGTATAGGGATAAACTATTACTTATTTATTACTTATTTAGTAAGTATATAATATAATATGTATTTTATAGATACTATATACCATATCAGACTTTATGATCTTGCTTAAAATTCACAAAAAAATGCTTATAAACGACTATACATAAACTATATATAAAAATTATAAATGTAGGTATCTAAAATTTAAAAAAAACAAAACAAAATTTTTAAAAATAATACTATAAATACCCACATAAATAAATGGAGAGGCCTAAATAGATAATTGGAAACGTCAAGCAAAAAACAAAAGTTTTTAAACCGAGTGCATTATATAATAAATTATAATAATTCATTACCTACACCAATTGAAAATAAATCACTTAAAATAATCTACTTTATAGGTACAAATAAAATATACATTTGCTATTAATTATAACGAGAAGAAATGTAGTATACGTTCTACATAATATAGGTACCAGATGAGAACGTTCTTGACAAGCCCAATGACGGAGGCAGGGGGGGAGGGCGCAAAAAGAATATTTAGAATATACAATATATTTATGCATCTTACTATTTTTATTGTTAAGTCCATGTAATATTAACAATTAAACACATTAACTATTTAAAGGGGAAGAATTTACCAATCACCCTTCCGCCTCCTGTATAAAACAACCAATGATACGTATTTATCTATATCAAATAATAGAAAACATGGTAACTTTGCCGACTATATTCTGGAACGGATTGACGCAAAAGGTTACCCTAGGCTAATAAAAAACACAAGCCCCTACTTCTTAGAACATAGACCCCGTTCCCAATTTATAAAAATAAATGTATACCATGTAATTTTTTTTTTACTTATTCTTAAGTCAATCTAAAAAATTTTCCAGTATAAAAATAATAAAAATCAATTGAAAATGTACTTAATTTCAATTGATTTTACCCCTTGAAACACAATACTGAAAGTATACGTCAAAATAAATAATTTAAATTATAATATATTAAGTATTTTAACAATCACTTTTATCGAGTAAAAATAATATTAGCTTACAATCAATATAATTTATTCGTTTTTAATGCAATAGTACGAAGTAATAATACCAAGTAGAAATTTATATGGATTTTTACTATAAAAAACATTAATAAAAGCTAGTAACTACTATATACCTACTGAATAATTATTAAAACGCGTCCGTGTATAAACATCATAATAATTTGATAGAACTAGTTTATCGCAATAAATACTCTAGTTCTAACTGAGTTTTAGAGTAAAATGTAATATATTATAATATATCATAATTAAATTAATTAATAATCTGACAATGTATATATATTATAATATATATTAACTACTTATTTAAATAATTTTTATTAATGTAAAAATGTAGGATGTTTTTTAATTTTTTAATTAGGTACATCTAATTGTAAAAGAAAATGATTAAAAAATAATAATTTAAATATAAAAAGGCGTCCTAGGATAATGGAGACGGGTGCAGCCACTGTTATAGGTAATTAAATGTATATCTGAAAGCAACAATAAACCATTGTTAACGAAAACACGATTCTAAGCGCAGTTCAGTTGATAGTGATACTTTGTCAACAATATATATGTCATATTTAATATAATATGATATAATATAATAATTAAATAGGCATTATAAATTTTCTTTAATAATATTTGTTTAATATTATACGGATTTTCCCGGTTTTTCACATTTGCTAGGAAAACTCTTAAGAAAATCAAAAATGAGTAAAGTACTTTCATAAGCAGATTTCTTTCAGGAAAAGTGCTATCATTGTAAATTAAAACAAAATTGCTGGTAGAAAAAATGTTCACAGGAAAAAAGAAGGCCGAAATATTTTTCAACTAATACCCTTCGTACATTTTCTGTTTTTCTGACATTTTATCCCGGTTTTTCCCAGATATTATGAAAATCACCTAAAAAAATCAAAAAACGACTTCCGTAAATAACCATGAAAATAATATTTCCTTTCAGAAAATAAGCTACACTTGATGCATCGGAGCAAGATTTCTGTTAGAAAGTTTGCACAACAAATCGAAGGGTATTTTGCGATTAAAATAGTCTGAGGGAACGATAGCTTTGGTCTCTAGGTACAACCAACATGCATTTGTTTTTTTCTTTGTTTGGGGAAAAAAAATGCAATCAATTTTGTTTAGACACATTGGCCTGAACTCGGAACCCCTAAAATGATAAAAAGCATAAATAACCATTTAATCACGACAAATATATTTTAAGAAGAACAATATAAAGTTATTTAACATGATGTATAAGGTTTGTTCCAATACGGAATTCGGGACTAGTTGTGGCCTGATCTGTAATTGATTTACTGTGCATGCGCTAACGGGAACTGATCATAGATTCAGAGTTATGTGGGAAATTGTTGAAACGCGTTTCTAACAACTCTCAGATTGGCCATAATTGTAGAATATAGATAAAATATAAAACTTAACAAAGAATTAATCGTGTGTCTTACAACAAAAAGTTTTTTTATACGTGCATTTTAAAATTTAAAAATTTAATTGAAACGGTTACAAATTCAAACGTAAATAATTGATAGCATAAACAAAGAACAATAAATGATAACAGGATCTCTCTCTGACTACTAGTCCCTATCCAAATCAGCGGATCGTTTTGACTGTCAGAAACCAATCCTAAAACTGGACTAATGTAGTGTTAGAACAACCGTCTAGCGGTTTGTGTTTGCGTTTTTAGTGTGTTGGAACGGCAACTCCACTGCGCACGCGCCCACCAGTTCTGTGATAGTTTGAACGTATGTTGGAACAAACCTATAATATCCGCATGATATCAAAACTTCAAAAAGCTACAATTTCGAAATTAAGTCAAACCGACTCCACCATTATTCTTAAATCGGCCATACACATATGTTCAAAAAAAAATTGAAAAATTAGATTTGTTCCACATAATTTTTTACTCAAACGATTTTCGTCAAAATTTAATATTAAAATTCTCTTATAAAAAAAAATTACTTTAATAAAATCAATTTTTTTTTTCTGACTACAAAGTATGACTCTTAATAAACCTCGTATTAAATTATGAAGCATTTCTGTTCAAGTCTTACAATTTTACCACAGAGTACTTACCGAATAAATATTACATACAAAACTCGCAAAATTAAAATGTCTATAAATAGCTCAAATATGACTTACATTATACATTTTATCACGTCTAGAAAATACAAATATAAATTTTACTATCCAATTTTAAGTCCATGGAGGCGATACGAATATTTTAAATGAATTTCAACAAAAATATTAAAATTTGTATAAAAAGCTTAAAAATGGCTCAAATGTTTTGAAAATTGTACAGATCAAATGAAACCATGAACATTAAATAAAAACATTTTAATTAATCTGTGAAATTTAATCTAGATAACCGTCTCTATTGTTTATTTCTCTATTTCTTTTTTTTTTTTTTTTATCGAAAAACATTCAAAAAATCGCAATTATTTGTTTATTAAATAAAACAATAATTCTCCCAAATTCCCGGTGGGCTAATCT